ACGTCTCTGTGTTGAATTTTGTGAAAGGATATATGAATTTTAATATGAATATTAAATCTAATCAGTCAATCACAGCTAAGAGATAAAACAATTAACACACTAGCAAATATAAACATTTTTTCTCATCTATTTATAGCCCACATTTATTTAACTCTCAGTAGAAAACAAAACAAAGCCAAACAAAAAAGCAATGATAAAAAAATACCATGATAAACGGTAAACAGATTTTCTTCCTGAACGTCTCTGTGTTGAATTTTGTGAAAGGATATATGAATTTTAATATGAATATTAAATCTAATCAGTCAATCACAGCTAAGAGATAAAACAATTAATAGATTCTTGTGATCTTTTTAGATCACATTTTTTCACTGAGTTTTTGAGATTGTCATTTAAAAGTGATTGCCACAGAGTGGGAAGGAAGCTATGCTTCTCATCACAGGTACTTTTGTACTATTTAATAGGCTGTTGTGGGCATAGATTAATAAAAATAAAGAGAAAACAAAATATTTTAAGAAGAAGTTGCCAACATTGACTAGATATGCTATTTAAGGTTCTTTGGTTATTGTTATTTGGGGGATATGGAAGTGAGAGGTAGAGGGTAAAAGAAAATCAGATTAACTATTAGAAGCTGCAAGACCAAGAGAATTCACCTTATAAAACTCCAGACTAAATCCTGCTTGGCAGTAACCCTGGCCTTCCGGATCAGCATTGCCTAGAATGATCAAAATGTATAAATGTTATCACATCATCATTCCTAAGATGCATTTTAATAATCAATTCAGGATGTTCTGTTGTTTTCTCTAGAGCCTTCTAAATTTAAAATGATCAATATGTAGTTGTACGTGTATTTTTAAAATTCATTCCAAGTAACTTACTAGACATTTTTTCATCTATTTTCTTATTGCATATATCACCGTGATTCTAGAGTAAGAATAGCATTCCTTTGGGTTATGATATTGGGTTTTACAACTCACGTTCATTTGAAGAAATAAAATCTTTATCTTTAGACTATGTTCCAAACTCCCCACGTGGTAGTAATATGTCTCTTCATGGCCCACTCGTGCTGAGTGAAGGCAGATGGGTCTGTTGTTCCTAACCAGTGATGCCCTGAGAAACGGAGCCCTAAGCATGACGACCCGAATGAATGCTTTCTGCTGGGGCACCCACAAGGGTTTCCATTTCTATGTTCTTTAATAGGAAGTTAATTTTAAATTATTCTGTTATGACAAGTTAGGTAAATTGGGAAATTGCATTTCCAGTCACAATTAATGTCACAGAGACATTGCAATGCTAGTGTTCACAAAACAGAAAGCTCTCTAGCAATGGCTTGTTTTGTCTACTGTCCAATTTAATTCACTAAGGGGATGTCCAATAAGATCTCACTGAACAGTTTTATGAACTAGGGGAGGCTAACACGTGGAGTCCACGTGTTTATATTACTATAAAAAGTCTCTAGGCCATTAGGATCAGGAATTTACTAGTTCTAACTTGTACTTTTTAAAAGAGTTTCTACCTCTTCTGAAATGCTTACATTATAGCCAAAATGTGGTCAAGTAGGGGTAATCTCAACCATTACATAGGTAGAAATGAACATGCAAATAATAACTCTTTTCTTATCAAGGATATCCCTGAATGGAAACTAAAGTAAGAAGGCAGGAAAGGAAATGCACATCATCACCGGAAAAATTTATAGGCTGGGCATGTGCCCATTCCAGAAGCTTTTTGAAATGGATCTCGCCTTTCCAGCTTTCCCTGGAATGTCTTCTGTTTCTCTCTCTCTCTCTCACTTTTTTTTTTGGTCAATACTTAGCTAATTTTAGCATTATCACCATCAATTCTTTCCAGATGTTCCCTTTGTTTTTAAAAATATTTTTCTACATC